CACTCTGTCTCAGTTTCCATTCCTTCTTCCTCTACCATTTGTCCAATATCCGGTATTTTTTATCCTTCTATTCATTGCTCCTTTACCGGTATTGCTAAACCTTATGTTTGCTCCATGACAAACAATGCTACTGCATTAAACGCTTGGGTAATAGATTCAGGGGCAACTAATCACATCTCTCATCAAAAATCTTCCTTCATTTCTTTTAAATCTCTCCCTGACACAACCGTTTCTTTACCTAATGGAGTTCTGGTTAGCATTGTTGGCATAGGAAGTATAGCATTGGGTAGCAACTTAATCCTCAGTGATGTCCTTTATATCCCACAGTTCAAATTCAATCTTCTCAGTGTTAGTTGTTTAACTAAATCTCTACACTGTCGAGTTTGGTTTGATGAATTTTCTTGTGGTATTCAGGGTCATACACAGGAATTAATGATTGGAATGGGTAGAGCAGTGGCAAACCTTTACTTCCTGGATATAGAGTCGTTATCTTGTCAAGGTGCTCTTCATAATGTCTTTGTGGGAACAGTCTCTAGCCTAGATTTGTGGCATAAAAGGTTAGGACACCCTTCCTTATCCAAACTTGAATCTATGCAATTTGTTTTAGCTTTTCCTAAGCAGTCTAAAACCGTAGATAAACATTGTAAGGTTTGTCATCTATCAAAACAAAAACACCTTCCCTTTGTATCTCAAAATAATATCAGTAAAAACCCTTTTGATCTTGTTCATATTGACACATGGGGTCCCTTTTCTACTCCTACTCATGATGGTTTCAAATACTTTTTAACCATTGTTGATGATTGTTCTCGAGCTACTTGGGTTTATCTCCTAAAACATAAGTCTGATGTTCTTACTATTTTCCCGGGTTTTATCCAAATGGTAGAAACTCAATTTGATAGGAAAATTAAGGGGGTTAGATCTGACAATGCTCCAGAACTCAAATTTGTTGATCTTTTTAACTCTAAAGGGATCACTTCTTTTCATTCCTGCCCTGAAACTCCACAACAAAACTCTGTTGTGGAACGTAAACATCAGCACATTCTCAATGTTGCTCGTGCTCTTCTCTTTCAATCTCATATCCCTCTTCCTTATTGGGGTGACTGTATTCTCACTGCAGTTCACCTCATAAATCGTCTTCCTGCTCCTATTCTCAATGATAAATCTCCATTTGAAGTCCTTACCACTAAAATCCCTGACTATAACCAACTTAAAGCTTTTGGTTGCCTCTGTTATGCGTCCACATCACCTAAAGGTAGACTAAAATTTGACCCTCGAGCTCGTGCGTGTGTTTTTCTTGGCTATCCTTCGGGAGTCAAAGGTTACAAACTCCTTGATCTTGAGAATAACTCAATCTTTATCTCTCGTCAAGTAGTTTTCCACGAAGAGCTCTTTCCATTAGTTGGTACTGATCTCTCTCTTTCATCATCTATCTTCTTTTCTGATCAGTTACCAACAACAGCTCCTGTGAATGACAATGTTCCTGGTGATGAGACTTTTTCTCATTCATCGTCAGTAGATATTCTGCATTCTGCGGATTCTACTAATGATGCTGAGTCTTCTACTCAGTTATCACACAGGAGACTTAAAAAGCCAGCTTACTTAAAAGATTACTACTGTAATTCGGTAGAATCTTCAACCATACATCAAATCTCTTATGTGCTTTCTTATGATAAGGTTTCTCCACTTTATCTCTCTTTCTTGGTCTCTATAGACAAAATCAAAGAACCCTCAACCTATGCTGAGGCAAAGAGACTTTTAGTGTGGGATGATCCGATGGACAAGGAGATTGATGCTTTGGAAGGGACTGGCACCTGGATTATTTGTACTTTACCACCAGATAAGACTCCCATAGGCTGCAAATGGGTTTACAAGGTGAAGTTTAATGCTGATGGGACAGTGGAGCGTTACAAGGCTCGTTTAGTGGCCAAAGGCTACACTCAACAGGAGGGAGTTGATTATCATGATACCTTTTCTCCTGTGGTTAAGCTTACCACTGTTAAACTTCTACTCAGTTTATCGGCTATTCATGGTTTTTCTCTGCATCAACTAGACATTTCAAACGCATTCCTTAATGGGGATCTTGATGAAGAAATATATATGCGTTTGCCTCCTGGATATGCACAAAGAAAGGGGGACTCGTTACCTCCTAATGCTGTTTGTAAACTTGAGAAATCTCTCTATGGTCTTAAACAAGCATCTCGTCAGTGGTTTCTCAAGTTTTCAACTACTCTTGGTGCTTTGGGTTTTTCTCAAACCCATTCGGATCATACCTGTTTTCTCAAGCATCGTGATGGACTCTTTCTTTGTGTGATTGTGTACGTTGATGACATTATTATTTGCAGCAATAATGATTCTGAGGTTGAAGTGTTGAAGACTCAGTTGAAATCACGTTTTAAGCTTCGAGACTTGGGGCCTCTGAAGTATTTCTTGGGTCTGGAGATTGCAAGATCTTCTGATGGAATTCATGTTTGTCAACGCAAGTATGCTCTTGATTTGCTTGATGATACAGGCTTACTTGGTTGCAAACCTTCGAGCATTCCGATGGATCCTTCCATCAAGCTTCTTTCTGAGCCTCCTAAGGGTATTGAAGATGAGTTGGTTGATGCTGCTGCTTATCGTCGTCTTGTTGGTCGTTTGATGTATTTGCAGATTACTCGTCCTGATCTAACCTTTGCAGTGAACAAGCTCAGTCAATATTCTTGTGCTCCACGCAAGAGTCATCATAAAGCTCTGCTCAAGGTTCTTCATTATGTTAAAGGATCTGTTGGCCAAGGCTTGTTCTATTCTTCTGGTTCAGAGATGCAAATTCAAGCGTTTGCAGATGCTGATTGGGGTTCTTGCCAAGACTCAAGACGTTCAACCTCTGGGTTTTGCATTTTTCTTGGCACTTCTCTCATTTCATGGAAGTCGAAGAAGCAAAAGGTTGTAGCTAAAAGTTCTGCTGAGGCTGAGTATAGGAGTCTCTCGGTTGTTTCTGATGAGTTGATTTGGTTGACGAACTTCTTTGCTGAGTTACGTCTTCCTCTAGTGAAGCAGACCTTACTCTTCTGTGACAATTCAGCTGCTATACACATTGCACATAACTCGGTCTTTCACGAACGTACTAAGAGTATGGAGATGGACTGTCATAGTGTTCGTGAGAGATTGGTTGCAGGTTTGTTCAAGTTGTTACATGTGAGAACAGAGTTACAATTGGCTGATCCGTTTACCAAGCCTATGTACCCTGCACCTTTTAAGAGATTGTTGGGCAAGATGGGTCTCCTTAACATCTTCGTCCCATCTTGAGGGGGACTATTATCCCATACTATGTAATGTATACGTGTATATGAAGTTATCCTAGAAGTGTAGTAGAAGTTGAGTTTGTACAGAGTATAAATACAGTATTGTACATGTCAGTTACAATTAATGAGAATGAGTTTCTGTTACTAATAGTAACTGAAAGTACGACACGAAATCTTTATTCTCTTAACGTTTTGATTTCGTTGTGTCATATTCATTTTGGTGTCATGATATTTACGATATGGACAAGAAAATTGTTGTATGCATAAATTAAGATCGAAATCTAAACTAATTACAAAAAATGTATATCCAATATTATTATCACATAAAAGATCAACATGTCGTATGTCGTATCGTTGTTCCGCTAGGTATTCATTTTGGTGTTTTGTTTATGATATTTACTATATGGACAAGAAAATTGTTGTAACATAAATAAAGATCGGAATCTAAACTAATCCCAAAAACTATACACTCAATATTATTATCACATAAAAGATCAACATGGTTTGAGAATTCAACTTTTGCTATCCCATGATAAATTTGCCAGTGACTAAACTACCATGACATGGTTACATAATTGTGGGAAACGTTGATTATAGATCTATTTATGTTTGAACATGGCTTTTGGATTACATTTATTGCAAGCATTCAAATAACAACTATCTTTTAAAATTATGTGGATAACAATGTATGATTCAAAGTTCAAAAACCACTTGAGTAAACAAAACAAATAAAATCAGTTTAAATATTGGTATATTCTAGCACTTGGAACCCCAGCGAAACATATCGTGACTCTCGTGATGTAAAAGGACATGCAACTTGCTCTTTTCTCTAATTTATATTATATTTTTCAATTGGAAAGAAGAATAAAGAAAGGATGTGGTGATCAACAAGTTGCAACTTGCATTCCTTCTTTTTGTTGCAGGATAAACAGGCTAAACAGCTTGGCTTGTTGGGTTATCACTCGAAACATTGCCCACTTGCAACTTTTTATTTCATTTTATGTCATTTTATGTCAGCAACATGTCCATATCTATGTTATCTATCAAATGTATGTGTGTGTGGATAGATTTACCCTTGATCTTTCATTATAAAAAATACCACCGTTTCTACTTACATTTATTTTCTATCAAATATGTGACAAGCCATTTATTATTTTGAAGCAATTTAACTCTCTTTTTTTTCGCAAGAGAAATTTAACTATTTGTTGCACACGTTATTTGTTTTGAATTAAAAAGATTTAAAACCCTCGAGGAAAGGAAGACATTATACCATGCCTAGATTTAAAAGTTTTTCTTTAATCGTCGAAGTTTCTCAAAAGATGTTTATACATACATTTTACGGTTGAATTAAGATGGTCAGAAACTCAATGTTTTGATTATATATATATCTGTCTCGACTACGCATTGTAATCATACCTTCAACGGACGACGAAACTAATTTCTCGCATCATTAGTTTAAATTATCTTTGGGTGGTGAAAGTCCGAATAGGTTCTTTACGGATAAAAACAACAAAAAATAAGTAAACGATAATAAGATTATGATGCATATGATAGATTATCTTAATTTACTCACACAATAAGAATAAGATTATGATGCATATGATAGATTAATTTACTCACACAATAAGCCGGCAAAAACATAGATCACACGACGGCTTAAAAAACAAAAAAACGACGTCGGATCTAACCAAACTACTCAAAGACTAACCAAAACATTCATCACATGGACGTCTTCTTCTTCACGCCGGCAGCAGAATTTTCAGCTATTTTAGCAAGTGACTGGAGATTGCATCTTACTATAACGTCCACAAAGTCGCATGTCTCTTCCTTTGTATTCCCTTGAGGCACATCAACGACGTAAGACTCAACAACAACGGTCCCAGAGATCGGAGAGGAGTGAAGAGTCGTGACTGATCGGTAGTTAGATAGCCTATGGTCACCACCTACAACGCTGAAGCTTATAACGTGACGCTCATCATCAAGAATGTCAAGACGCTCGGTGGAGCTCGCAGCGGGTAAGCCAGAGACGACATGGACTTGACGTAGACTACCAACGTTACCACCGTCTCCACCAATAACGCTGCAGCTTTTGAGAAAGTGTTTGTAAGCTTGCGGGTTATCAAAGCGTCTTACGACAGACCATACGGTTGATATAGGAGCGGAGATCTCTTGGATGACAGCTGAGCAACACTGGTTAGGACCAACCTCGTGCGTGTGGAAACGAGCTGCGGTTGTGTCGCGTTGAAGAGAAGGGAAACGTTTTTGAAATGAAGCGATCATCATCGGGATTTGGACGGTGTCTCCGTTTGATACTGAGGCGGAGGAAGGGCGGTGAACGGCTAGCATGTTGATATGAGTTATAAAAATCTTGATGGATCTTTGATAAACGTTTCTTTAGGGTTAAGAGAATTAAGATGGAGGATTCAAGAGGAAGGTGTTGAGGGAGGAGAAGATGTGATGTGAGTATATAAAAAAGGAAGCAAAAATCAACTTTAAAGCGACTTGTGAAAAGTTGGGCTGTGACCTTTCGATTTGAGAGAGAGAGTTTTGAATGCAGAGTTCATGTGATGAGTGGTGGTAACAAAAAAATACATAGCAAGTTGCTATTCTTTAATTTACGTATGTGTCCCTGGCTAGTTTGTTGACTTGACAGGTCGGTACGATATATAAATGGCAAGTGACCATAATTCACGTTTAGAGTATTTATTAATAATTTAATGCACAGCATTTTTAAAGTCTTACATATAATCATTGATATTTTTAGTCTTAATACAATCTTTTGAAGTATTGGTGATGTTGGAACTGAATAGTAGTGATATATAATAAATTTAAGGTTGAGTTTGAGAATTTATCTATTTTAATTTAGTTTTGTGGTGGATATACAAAATGACTATTTAAATTATAATACCACGCTTCCAACACACATCTAGGTAGTTAAATATTATTACTAGATGCGAATATTTTGATGAAGTAACGAGTAGATGGAACAAGTTGTTCTAAGAAAATCCTTGCATTGCTTTGATTATTATCATATATGCAAATATGAATATGATACAAAGCATATGTCTGCTCTCTCGTCCATTTTACGGGTCACGAAAAGGATATGCACTATCAGATCCATTTCACCTATCATGTGATGCACCAAATAGGGAGAGATATCGTCAAAGTATTTTTTACTAAATGAAGATGATTGAGATGTGGCAAGATCAACTTTTGTTAGTAAATCATATCATATATGTTTCATATGGTTAATGTGACCATGATGTATGATGTATCAGTTTTCTTTTTTTTTTTTTTAACTTTGTGCATAAGGCTAAAAACTGATCAATAAAATACGAGAGATTCAGATAACTAAAAGTAATAATGTAAACACCGTGGAAACTTAATACTATGTGAAAATCATAACACTGAGATTTATACAAAACATACCAAAGAACACGGTAAGAAAATGAGCTTGCCAAAGAAAATTTGGACTCCTCGAAACGTGGTCAAGGCGTTTTTTATAACTTTTTGTGGTGTGAAAGGTCAAGTTGACCATGAGGGTCTTTGACTATTTCTTTGACTAATACAAAACAATTTTAAAAACACGGCAAATATTAGGAGGAAACTAATGTCGTTTCATGAATTAAACGGTGAACGTTGTGCTGTTTTTAGTTGTTCCCCGTGTTACAAGTATAGTCTTTTCATCATACGCGTCAAAGTAGAACGCCAAAAGCAAGCCATCGTCTTCTCTCTCTCTCTCTCTCTCTCTCTCTCTCTCTCATTCGGCGGATTATTACAGAGGAGAGATGGATCAGATAATGAACAAGGTTGGCTCTTATTGGTTAGGACAAAAGGCTAACAAAGAGTTCAACTCAGTTGGTGACGATTTCAATGTATCCTCTCCTCTTTTCTTCTTTTGTTTTATTGCTGTTAATAGTTTCAGTTTATCATTACATAACTCGAAAAACTTGTTGTGTATTTGATCGAAACCTCACTCCTTTTTTAACTGAAACCCTTGTAGACAATACTTAAAGTTACTATAAATAGAAAAAGATTGGTTTACACTTGGTCTTGAATCCCATTTTAGCACTTGTTGTTAGAGTTTTTTTACTTATGGGGTAACATATGTTGAAATAAAGTTTATTGCTTGTGGTCTCCAAAGTGTCCTGAGTTTGATGATTTTTTTTTTTGGCAGTCATTGTCTAGCAGTATTGAAGGAGGAACCAAGTGGTTAGTCAACAAACTCAAAGGTTTGTGGTTTTCTTTCCTTCTTGTATTTTAGACATTGGTGAACATAGTATCTAGTTCAAGATTTGAATGCTCTGATGTGACTCTCCTTCACTTCTTGTAATATATGTCAAAGTAGCATTGCTTATAAATAGGTTATTGACAGTTGTTATTTTTTGTTTTGAATAGGAAAAATGCAGAAGCCATTGGCTGAGTTGCTTAAAGAATTTGGTTTACCTGTTGGGATCTTTCCACAGGACGCCACAAACTACGAGTTCAATGAAGAGACAAGTAAGCTGACTGTTTTCATCCCTGAGACCTGCGAGGTTGGGTACAGAGATTCATCGGTTCTGCGGTTTTCAACTACGGTAACTGGCTACCTGGAGAAAGGGAAGCTAGCTGAAGTGGAAGGCTTGAAAACAAAGGTGATGATTTGGGTTAAAGTTACTTGTATCTCTGCAGACCCATCAAAGGTATATTTCACAGCAGGGATGAAGAAAAGCAGGAGCAGAGATGCTTATGAGGTTATACGTCCTGGTGTTGTTGTTGATAAATTCTAACTTATGGATCAGTTATGATACAACTAATAATACAAACTTTTCCAAGTTAGTTTTTTTTGTGTGTATGCTTTTAACACCTTGTGTTGTTAAACTAAACCTGACGAAGCAAACCTAGTAGCTAATGTATAAGAATGTTTACTTTAATTTTGTTGCAGTAAGCAGAGATCAGTCACAAACTTTGTATCTCTCTGTATACATTTCACAAAATATATAACAAGTAGAGAAGCAAATAGGTAATGTGAGTGAAGGTAAGAGTTTAGTGTTGGTCATGGAGTAGTTTGAAATAAGTATTTGGAAGCTTCATAATTGTCAATCAATATTCAAAAAAGTGCTTAGATGGTAATTAGACTCTGTATAAGAGATTATTGATTATGCAGACCAATCTTTTTAAAAATGTTATGTTTAAGTCCTAATTCCCGCCAAGGCAGACACTAAACACAGCATAGACCAATTTTTAGTCCAATAGAAAATAGGTCAAAGACTCGGTGATACCAACAGCAAGAAGGCAAAACAAAGGCCTACAAAGTCTAAGAACAAGTAACTCAATAGCAAAATGCAAAAAAAAAAAAAAAACAGAACATAGATTTTCTGAAACAGAGGAAACAAAAAAACAGTTTTAAGCAGCTTGTTGAGCAGAGAGCCTCTTCCTAGCTTCCTCAATAATGGTAAGCTTAATACCTTTACCCTTTGGAAGAGACACCCACGGCTTTGTTCCTTTCCCAAGCGTGAACACATTCCCTAACCTCGTTGCAAACTCATGCCCCGTAGAGTCTTGAATATGGATGGTCTCAAAGCTTCCCTTATGCTTCTCACGGTTCTTGATCACACCAACACGCCCTCTGTTTCTCCCTCCAGTCACCATCACAACATTTCCAACATCAAACTTGATAAACTCCACAATCTTGTTCTCCTCGAGGTCTAGCTTGATGGTGTCGTTAGGCTTGATGAGCGGGTCAGGGTAACGGATGGTGCGACCATCGTAAGTGTTCAGGTAAGGGATTCCCTTCTGACCAAACTGAATGGTTCTCACTTTGCACAGCTTAAACTACACAATAGTAAACAAGATAACATGTTATAGAGAACATACAATGTTAACAAGTCAATGGAAAAACACAAAGACCTTTGCTTCCTCGTCCCTGATGGAGTGAAGACGGAAGCGTCCCTTGGTGTCATAAAGCAGACGGAAATTCTCATTAGTCTTTGGGATAGACACAACATCCATGAAACCAGCAGGGTATGTCTTGTCGGTTCTGACTTTCCCATCAACTTGAATATGCCTTTGCATCAGGATTGAAATCACTTCACGGTATGTCAAAGCATACTTCAATCTATTACGGATGATGAGAACAAGGGGAAGGCACTCCCTGGACTTGTGTGGTCCAGAAGATGGCTTGGGGGCAAAGGCACCACCAAGTTTGTCAAGCATCCAATGCTTTGGGGCATTAAGCCTCTTGAGATGTTTCTTCAATCCCCTTGCCTACAACAAAATTTGAAATGTATCTTCATTAAAGCTTAAAGTCTCATTCTTTCACACACAGCTTTGACATCTAAAACAGAATTCAAGAAACAGAGGAAAACAGAGTATTAAGCTAGGACAAACACATGCTAATGTTTCTCAAGGAAGAAATAAACAACTTGATGATCACTATGAAATAGTAAAGCAAGAGATGTTGAAGAGCTACGAGAGTAGAGTGGGAGGAGGATGACGAACCATGTTTGCTGAGGTGAATCTCCGACGGCTGAAGCAGATGTGCACTCTGTGTTCACCTTTGTTATCTACAGAGAGTGTGATGAGCCCTAATTTTATTAAAGCCCAGATCTCTATTGGGCCGAGAATTAGACTTCTTTTACTTGGGGAAAGAAACCTGTGTCCCATCTAAATTAATGAAATGAATTGTTCATATTAATGTATATTTTTCATTTGCAAAGTGACAAAATTAACATAATAAAATTAGCAAAAAAAACTTTCATCCCCATGGTCTCTCTCTCTACTCTCATTTTAATTCATTTTCCATAGATTTGATACAAGATTTTGTTTCCACCAATTTTTACAATTCTTACATATTATCCGTGTAAAAGTTCTTATTACCGCTTACTAAAACAAAAATTGACAAAAAACAAAAAAAAATATTTATACACATATTTTAGTCAACTGAATTACATTTATATAACTGATTTTAATTTTTAGTCAGCTTAATTAAATTTAGGACTATGGTTTTAGTGATTACTTATTGATAAGAAAATATAAGAAATATATATTATAATGATGTAGTTTCAAGATTCTTTAAACCATTTAGCTCATCAAATATTTTATGGGTCCCACTTACAAATTGAAAGGTAGAAAACGTAATATTAATGAATCATAGAACGTAGAACATAGAACATAGAATATTTTATAGCTCATCAAATATTTTTTAGTTGTTAACATAGAACATGAATCATGTGACTTGTATTGGAATTGCAGATCAGGTTTTTTGTTCAGGACTAGCGGATGGTATCTTTTCACATGACTATGCCAGCGCCGGTTCAGAAAATGTGAGTGAAAAAGGCATATTTTGTTTTGAGATATATTTGATACCACATACGAGTTAATATCAAATAACAAACAAAATCTACAAGAAAATGCAAACATAGTGACTGGTAGGATAGATTTCCAATTATTAGTATTTAAAACATGACATTTTTTGCAGATAGAGCTACAATAGAACGGATGCGGAAGCAGAAACAATAAACACGTTGGATGGTGGTCAACAACAAGAGAAATAAACTACACCTAAATTCCAAAGACAATTGATAGTTGTAACCAAGTGACTGATTACCTACGTACAATTAACAATGACAGCACATTCCATTAGATAGGGGCATCAACTGTAGAAGTCCATGGTATTGGTAAATATCAACATGACAGGTCAACAAAATCGACATAGAGAAAAGAATACGTGTAATTATTTGAGAAATCAATAAAAATTACGGATCAAATAGAAACTAAGATAATGAAACAGTGAAGCTCAAAAGATAGTGGCGATAATGAACACACTGTTCCCCACACTTGTGCGGGGGTGAAGGCACCTTGTACACAACTATTCGATCCACCATGACGTCTTATTACTCTTAGACAAGATCTAGTTAACGTTTGGCTAAAGCAAGACCTAGTTAACAACTATTGGATCCACCATGACGTCTTATTACTCTTAGACAAGAGTTTTGTAGAATATTAAATACATTCGGATGCAGATACTGTTATTTGTTAGTTTTTATTCAACTAGTCATTTTATCTGTGCATGCAGCATAATCATGATACGGATATTTATTACTTTATAAAATTTTAATTGATTTTTTATTTTCAAATTTTTCTTCTATTTTATGGCTATTTTATTATATTAATTTATTATCGATTATTTTCTATTTAATAAACCTAAAAATGTAAATATAAAATAAGGTAGTCATAAAATGGAAATTTAGAATAAAAAAAAGTAGTCATAAACTAATTAAGATACATATTTTTATATATGGACATAATCTTCATTTTGATTACATTCTTTAGAAATTATAGAATGATATACTTGACTATGTGACCAATACTGAAAAAAAAAAGTTACATTCTTAAATAAGAGATTTTCTACATTGTATAAAAAGTAACTAAATTTTTGAGTCAATGAATAAAATATATACTAAATTCTGCAATGTAGAAGATACTATATATACCAGCTCTATTGGTTTAGTTAAAGTATTAGAGGTCTATTTGATTATAGCCATAATAATTAAGAATGGCATCAAAGATCACATTCTTCTTTCTCCTTGCTCTCTTTATCTCTTGTGAGTCTCCATAATCTCTCTAACAAGCCTTTTTTTTACTAACTGTGTTTAATAGATTTGAAGTTTAAAAGTGAAATATTTATTCATGTTTCCTTTTTGGTATCAATGTGTGCTTATTTAGGTGCAACGATGGTGAGTGTTCCGACAGCGGAAGCTCAGGTTTTTCTTCCTTGCAAAACATCTAGAGATTGTGGATACCTTCACTGCTCGAGTGGGACAGGTCACTGCGTAAAGAGTCAGTGCCAATGTAGTGACTCGATGACTGCTAAAAGCGACAACTTTAAACCGACGAACTATGCTCAGCCGTGCAACAAGACGAGTGACTGCGATCCTAGATATGAACCTATATGTGTCACAGGATCTTATTTGTGTTACTATGGGCACTGTAGTTGTGTTCATTAATGCCTATTATCATAAACATATGCATATTGTTTTTGTTTTTACTATCGAGGGAAGATTTTCTCAACGATATTAATAGCATGTACTCAGTATTAAAAAAAATGTACTCAGTCACTGGTTTATATCCGTGTCTTTACTGTTTTTATCTGTTTCATAAGCATTTAAGTGATAACAAAAAATAACTGATAAGAGTTGACCAAAAAAAAGGAAAAAAATAATAAGAAAATCCAAATGGGAGTTTGTACATCACACCATGGTAAGATAACAGACGAATTAATATTGCGATTAATGAATTGATTAGTTGTTGACTGTAATTGATCTATATATAACGATCAATGGCGATGGAAAAATTGAAGTAAAACTTAACAATGAATTTACGTCTACTGCTCGTTGTATTTTCTTATGTGCTTTTCACGCAAATAGTCGTTGGAAACATTGATGTAAATTTACAACTTCTGTTTTGCTTTCCATTTCGTAGTATTTGATCTTATAAGATTTTTTTTTGTGTGTGTATTCATTAATATTACAGGATTTTGATTGTGTTGATATATACAAACAACCCGCTTTCCAACATCCATTGTTGAAACACCACAAGATTCCGGTATGATAGTGAACTTGATTCAATCAATATAAAATAAATGTGGATAAATTTTAAGAATATTTTGATCTATGTTTTCCTCTAAACTAATTTTGATAGTTGTTATGTTTCAGGAAAAATTCATTTCAAATAAAAGTTTTAATAGGAAAAAGAAACATAAAACAAATGATCAAATTTGTCCAAAAGGAACCGTGGCAATCTTAAAACAGAGAAGTAGAACTGAGAGCCTTCATCTCAACTCGTACGGTCAATTCGGCCACCATGTATATCCCTCTTCTTTTATCTGTTTTATAGTTTTTATTCCTCCAATATAAAAATAATAATAATTCAAACTATTTAGTGTGTTATGAAACATGCAATATATGACTTTTTAATGAGATATACTCTTGTATAGTTTGCAGTAATGGAAACTTTTCCGGATGAGAGGAGCATCTATCGAGGAGCACAAGCTGATATAAGTATCCATAACCTAACATTACGAAATAACCAATTAAGTAAAAGTCAAATTTGGTTAGAGAATGGACCTCCTGGCGAACTTAATAGCATACAAGTTGGCTGGGCGGTACGTTCTAATATCAATTCCTCTTTATAATCCTTATACATACATAATACACATGCAATGGAACCAATTCACCACATCTCATCACATAATTTTCATAGGTGCATCCAAGAGTGTATGGAGACAGTGCCACACGATTTACTATTTATTGGACCGTGAGTAAACTAATACTTTTTTCTTAGTTATGTTTATATATAAACCATACTTTTTTCTTACATAATAATAGTATTTGATAATATATTGTATTGATTTGTCTTTCATTTATCAGGCAGATGGCTATAAAACCACTGGATGCTATAATACAAACTGCCCTGGCTTTGTTATTTTAACTCGAAAACCCTCCATTGGAAGCATTTTTAAACTATCCTCTGTGTATGGTGGTGACAAAACAGTTATTTTCACACCACACGTTTTTCAGGTAAACATTTATTTACAATATTCTACATTCATGTTATTTGACGTTAGTTTTGGGAATGGGAGTATTTTCTATCAAATACTATTTCTTTATTTTTCTTCTGCTTCAATATTTTGTGCAGGACGGATTTTTTGGATGTTGGGCATTGAAAGTAGATGACGAAATAATTGGATATTGGCCTAGAGAGCTATTTACACACTTGAAAAAAGGTGCTTCTCGGGTGCGTTTTGGTGGAAACACATTTATGTCTCCAGATGGGATTAGTCCTCCAATGGGAAATGGTCATTTTCCGCTTCAAGACTATCAAAGGAGTGCAAGTTTCCTTCATGTGAAACTTACGGATCGTAATTATCACAGTTTCGAAGCCAAAAATATATTAAGGAATGCAGATTCTAGGTGTTATAGACTAATGGATCGGTATTACACCGAGCAGAATGGAAAGTCCTTTTCTTTTGGAGGAGCAGGTGGAAGATGTGGTTATTAATGATTTCAAATTTTACAATATAATACCAACTCTTTTTCAATAATACTACAAGTCATTTTCATTGTCACTAAATCACTTTTTATGTTTCATGTTTTTGAGTGAGAATCAATATACAAAACAAACACGAAGAGATTGAAGTTACTGACTCATACTCATGCCATTAGATAAAATATAAGAAAGACAAAATAAAGAAGCATCACAAAGTGAAAGACCTTTAAAGAAGAAGAAGACAACAATATATTTATTTTTTTCATTTAGTTTCCCTTTGTTCAGAAAACACTCTGCACTATACATATATTAATCTTATCCAGTTATCAAACCAGAATCAATCACAAAACCACAAAGTATGAAGTTTATATTTACAATCTATGTTGCTGCTCCTTTGGTTTGTTTCCAGTGTCCTTCTATCAAAACTTCTTGATTACAAAATAACCAAGCTTCAGTTTTCCATTGGAGTGTTCCTGAATGGGTTATGAAACGGCTTTATAAGCATACCACGTGTTAAGCTCTCTTGCCGTAGTGTAGGAGATAAATAAGATTGCAGATGAGTTTTGTCAATGTTTGTGATTCACTTACTTTGTCTACGTGGGTTACGTCCTTTTGGTGTATTGT